ACAGTAAACACTATGCAGTGTTATTTTACACTTAATTAAACTTCTGTGTCTGAATACACCTGTTAAACCTTATTTTATTTGTAACTTGTTCTTATTTAATTACAAACTGTTCACTTTGTTCATTGTTTGAAGTAAAATGTGTCATAAAAAAATTGAGAATTTAAAATTTTCTCTCTCTCTCTCTCTCTCTCTATATATATATATATATATATATACTGGATTTATGAAGTGCACAGAGGAACAGTCTCTAAATTTGCTCCTCTATTTCCTCTCATCTTTTGCACTGTTACTACTCATTTTTGCACTAGTTTTCTCTGCTTTGTGTACAAGTGTTTTTTGTTTACATTACACTGTCTGTTTCAGACTTCCTCAAAGACATTTTTTCTTATTTTTTTGTGCGCTAGATTAGCTCTTCCGAGTTTTTTCTATTTGCTACTTCTTTCTTTGTGCACTACTTTTGCTCTTTTATAGTAATTTGCTTCTCCTTTTTGTGCACCAAGTTTGCTGCTTATTGTTTTACTAAGCTTGGCCCTCTGACACTCTGCTATGTGGTTTGTGCTGTTTTTCCTCACTGTGGCTGATTTGGAGTATCTGCTGAATGAATAAATGTAACGAAAAAATTAAGCTTGCTTTTCACAAAAACGATTTTGGATTTCTCTTCTGCCTTCCCTATGTTACACTACCTGATTCTTGAGCTACTCCTGACATTTGTCCCTGCTGAAACCATTCATGATGTAAGATCTCCTCTAAAGTTGCTCTCTCTGCAGGATCACGAGTCAGGCACCGACTTATCAAATCCTGGCATTCTGTTAAAGGTTTTCACAAGAGAGCTGATTAGTCACATATGCGACTAAATCTTCACTCTGGGCAACTAAATGATGTCTAACATTAGCCCTAATAAATTCTGAGAGCTTCTGAGTTTCACTCTTCATCAAGCAATCTGCATATCTTATGGATGCACAGCATACCGTCGCTTTGTTTCTTACACACACGCAAAGAAAAAGAGAGAGGGAGAGAGTCTTACATACCATGCAGAATTGACGCGCTACATGTAAACAATATTCTTTGTTGTATTTTCCTATCAAAATAACGGAGTTAATTAGGAATTATTCAGCTTTTAAGAACCATAAGATACTGCTGGTTTCTTCGGTCGTGGGCGGAACTAATGCGCAAACGGCAATCTCATTGGCTGGCGCTCACCTATTATCGTCCCTGTTTTGATTTCAGCAAATCAGTTCGAGCGAACACAGACAACGTGATTAATATTCATGAACCCAGCAGCTCGTTAATCGTTAGTGTTTTATATTGTTATTAGAAGTAGAATTCATATTATTATTATTATCTTATCAGTATTATTGTTAGACATGTACGTTTCAGAACTCAAGTCTTTCTCATTAGTCTAAAAACAGCTTATATTGAAGCCAATCTGCCAAAACGACAGGTTATGGAATGTGCCACTTTATGACATAATAGTGTGGTTAAACACAGCCATGCAGAAGATCAACACCTGCTTCTACAGTAAGTTTTGTAGGGGGTGAGAAAACAACATACAGAAGATCAACTGAAATACTCAACATATGCAACATTTAAATATTTTGCTAACGTTCCAGATGTTTATTAGGGTGTGTATATTAGCTTTGATAATTCGAAAAACTGCTCTGGAATGATATTTTTAAAATGCAGATTGTTTTTGAAAATGCTCTGTTCTGTACTTGCACTACTATACCATTTAGTAGATGTGTCGTGTAATTAGATTAATTATTCTTTTAATAAATTGTTTTCATGAACAATGTGATCTTTATAACTAGTGTTTTATCTCAGTGTTTTAAGCTCCAAATTATTCAGTATAAAATGCTGTATCGATTTTCACATTACATGTATATTTTGCTGAACACAAGTCTAACTATTCTTTTTAATAAACCCTTTACTTTTGGATCGCCAGTCTTCAGTGCTCGGTAAACACTGCAGGTGTCATTGTGGTTACAGACACAGTGATGTTGCCTACCTTTGATTTCACCAAGCTGATTACTCACTAAATAGTGGGTGTGTGAGTTGTTTAATCAGTCTGTCTATTTACAGTTGTTTTATTTTTGTACTGTGGATTATTTTCTCATCCAATAGTTTGAGGAGGCACTGCCTCTCTTGCCTACTCGGACAGAATGTCCTTGGGGGTTAGTATTGTATTGAATTTGTACTAGAAAAAACCTAACCCAGTGTAGTTACAACTCTGGTTGGCTTAACTTCAGAGTTGGAAAATTCTGATAAACCTGTGACAAAATAAAAACCTTTATGCATTATTATTATTTTTATCCCACGAGGCAAGAACTTCCTTACTATATTGGAATTCATAGAAAATGTTTGTTAACCCATGTAGGACCAACTAGTTTAGTGAAGACATAACACGTATTTTTAATTAGACGTTTAATTTGATTGAAAGACAAAACATCAAAGAACAACCCACAAAGTAGAACAGATGACTTTTTCCATTTCCTTAAAAATAAGACAAAATATGATGAGAGGACAGTCCTTCTCTTTGAGATGGCGAAAGGAGGAAACCAAAAGGCAAAGTGTATGTGAAAAGGGTGAAGGTGTCAGAGTTGACGTCATCCCTCACACAATCCACTTTCAAATGCTCGGATTTGAAATTTTCCCACTTCAAATCAACATTTACACAATGTATACAACAGCCCACAGAAAGAAGAAGGAAGGGAGGATATATAAGCAAGGGATAAAATTAAATTTGTACAAAAATAGATTTTTTTCCTATAATTTTCTCAATGTTTTTAAAAGGTCCTGTCTCTGTGACGACTGAAGCGGTGACTGTGTCAGGGTCAAAGTTTATCCTCACTAGTTTAAATGGGAAAAAAAGTGGCTATGCAACAGGTTCCTTCAGATTTTATTTATTTTTCACTAACGAGACATTTGTTCGAGGTTTTGTGAACATAAAATGATTCATAAGTCAAGGAGCTGGTGTACAATCTTTTCTTAGGGCTCTAAACTGCTGGTATTAAGTCTAAAATTTCCTTTTTTTGTGTGTGTAATTCAAGGCTGAACACAAAAGCTTCAGCAATTAAAAACATTTCTAGTATCCGAGAACAGTGCAATTAGGCCTGGCTTTAGTCAATTTAAGGAAAAATGCTTGGCTCCCTTACTAACATTGTTCGGAAACATTTAAAGAATGGATTCATATACTTTCATATTTAGAAATATACACACATTTACATATAGACAAAATATAGCTTTATGTTATAAAGCATTTGCGTATGTATTAATTCTATCTAGGTTAACATTTCTCCATTACTCCATTTCCAACAGGAGAAAGTTTTTGATCTCAAACCTGAATATGGCTTCAAGATGCCGGTGATCCAAAATACTCATCCATTAAAAAGTCTAGGGAAGCCAATAAAATCCATTTGCCACGCAAAGGAAATGAGGGTAAGAGGACGAAAAGTTGATTTTCAGAAATGTAATCCTAGAGAGGCATTCTAATAAACAGTATTGACTTAAATTGGTTGGGCGTCACTCTGGATAAACCATCTCGAGTGATCTAATTCATGCTATTGCTAAAGACCCTTGTGAGACTGCACTCAAACAAAAACAAACATTGATAATATCACGTAAAAGTGCCATTTTTTTATCCGATTAAATACTTGTACAAAATTCAAGTAATGTTGCAGTGCTGCATATCCACCACTAGGTGGAAGTCTCAGCTCTCCCATTGCCTCAGTATTATTCCCTACAGTACTGCTCCACTCCTCCCTATGCAAAACCCCTAATATCTCTCTACGAACTGCTGGAGACCCGAATCTTGGTCCTGGCGGTCTAACCTTGTTCACATGTGGCCTCAGTCTCACTATGGACAGTCTTTGGGGGGGGGAAAAAAAAGCTAAATGCATAGTTTAGCAGCAGCAGCAGCATACAGAAATAAAAAAAAACGCTGAAAATGGCAAATTACAGGCCCAGAAAGCAGATGATACCTCATAAAAAAATAAAAATAAAATAAAAAGGCAGCACCCAAAAACACAACAATGGGACTTGAAACATGAGGTTAAGTGCTTAGAAACATCCTAATGATAACACAGATTTGCAAGACCTGAATGCATGAGATGGCTCGTGCGAAAGGCTGACGCAGGAGTGAATGAGGGACACAAAGGAATCAATATACCATAGTAAAAGTGACTGAAAGAGAGGTAACGGCACACATTTTGAAAAATCATCCACAAAATACAGGACACCAATACTGAATTGGTTGTAATAAACTGTACAAATGTCAAGCTCGTTTGGAAAACCACTTGAGGTGAATTGGTATACAGATGAGACACACTGGGACATGTGGGTGACTTATAAGTGGGATATCCACTATAAGCGCCCTGAGTTTACATCACTCATGTTTCAGCATCATGGGCTCTGTGAGAACAGGCAGATCGGATTTTTAAAAGCTCATGTTTCGAGTGCATAATGAAAAAGTGTGAATGATCATAGTCCAAAACTCAGAGTGGCTCATTAGACACTGGGATCTGCTCACAGCGAGACCTCAGTGTCCCTTCCTATTTGATCCTGAAGTTACGTCCTTATTGCGTCTCCTACCCACCACTGATGATGCTCGGGGTGAAGTCGGAGAACGAACGCGGTCTGTGATTCCTCATTGGTTCCTTTGCTCAGAGCACTCACTTTTTAAATGACAGTAATTACAAGAACATTCTATCAGGAACAGCCTGCTTGAGGGACAAATGGCAATTTGAGCAGGATTGTTATCGCAAAAACTCCCAACAGGGGCTGAAAACACAAAGTTTGTGTTAGAAACCCGGATTATTACCCGCATTACCATTATTATCATCTCCCATATGTCTTCATGTGCCCAGACACATCAGCCCAGGATGGCCCTATCCAATCCTGAATGAGGCTGATTACAGCCCTGGATCCCTCCCATCTTAAATCCCAACGTACACGAGCTTGCGTAAGACATTCCTACAATTACTGCACCTCGATCAAATCTATCGTTTTTTTTTTTTTCATATGAACCCACTGAAGGATAGTTTGATACACCCATGCCCACTGTTGTCTGTGGGCTTGAATTCCATTGTCATCTTTTGTCTTATGTGTTATATATATTTATATCTTTATACAAAGTATAAAACAGACCCATGGACGCCATGACTGTGTATTGGAAACGCTGAGTTGAGCGGCGGTTCTGAAAGTTCCTTTACTCTGGCAAATGGTGTCACGTGTTCAGTTTCTAAGGGGCCTTTGGGGTGGCAGACCCTTGTGTCCCCCTGGCGATAGGAGGGCGTTATGTCATTATGTCATTTGGTGGGGCGCCTCTAGCATCTCCATGAGGAAGGTATCGATGGGCGTGTCTCCTATGAGCTTGAAGAAGAACAGATGCTCCAAACATTTCAGTCCAATGGAACGCAGGGCAGGGAGCCGCAGCAACAGCTTAGCAAACCTGCACACAAAAACACACATTGTCAAACGGCGAAAAAACAAGACGGATATACAATTAAACTGATAGCTCTTTTATCTGTACTTGATATGACTCTGACAACCTTTGAAGTCAGACAAGACCTGAGAAGCTATGAAATGTTCATATCTCAAATATCATTTAAATCTTACAAATATATACTGTATATATGTATATATATATATATATATATATTGCTACGTGTATGTGTGTGTGTGTGTGTGTGTGTGTGATGCCATTCAGGTACTGCAATGGTGCATAAGGTCAGAAAGTGGTTCTTGTACCTTCCAGGTTGTTCAGGGTACTTCTGTTTGCAGTAGGCTTCCAGAGAGGCATAGACCTTCTCTCTCAGCGCCTCCACCTCACCTGGGTTTGACAGGCCTTTGGAGTCTGAAACAGTAGCAGATGCATGACAAAGTTAAATTTTGGAGTAGGAACTGTACTATCGTGCTTCAGCACATCCTCAGAGTGTACGGCGTTCCAGAAGAGCAATGCAGCTGCTCAAACACCACTAATGGAACCAAACCAATATGTTCAAAATATTGAACTGTTCTAAGAAACGTTTCTCGAATTTCCAACAGTAATTCTTTCTCAACTCAATCTTGTACTCTACTCTAATTGGGCTGCATTTTCCCCCCACTCTCTATTAAGTGAAAGGAACAGAGGAGAGGTCTGTCCTCGGAAAATGAGCAATGCGCTGGACTATTCTTCATTATTTAATGGGAGATGCTTTCATGCTAGTGATGGGGGGGGTAGTGTATGTTTACTCTGGGGTTCAAAGGCCAGTGTTAAGAAATTCAAAAAATTTAAACATATATAGTAGACAGGAAAGTTTTGGACATTGAGCAAGGGAATGGGATCAGGAAACATCACAGGCAATTTGAATGTGCTTACAATATTGATTTCAAGAAAGTCTTTAGATTTTTATCATTAGAAACAAATTTTTGACTGGTAGCCTCACAAGGGGGAATATAGAGCAGTACCTGGGTTGAAGAGGACGATGGCTCGAAGGCACCCTAGCTCTGTTTTATCCATCTGCATGTCTCTCATCTTTGACACCAATTCCGTCAGCACCCTGAATATAGGAGAAAACACACCGACTATACAGTGAAAACAGGTCAAATAATGCCAGTTATGAAGCTGTGATATTCAGAGTTTCAGGATGTCATGATCAGTATATGAGAACATGGGGTCCCTTTTCTCGCCTTAAATGAGAATGCATCATAAAACGGGATATTCTGTCAATATTTTGATTTAACCCAGAAATTCTTTCTGTTTTTTTTTTATCTATGTTGTTTTTACGTCATTTTATATTGTACAATTTGTTTATTATTACAATTATTTATTTATTTTGTGAGGTAAGCTATGGGAAGGGTTGAAACTAAAACATTGTAAAAACCTTGATGTTCATGTTCAAATGTTGCTTAAAATTGCTTCAATAGATCTTTATAAATGAAGGACACTGCTAACACGATCAGCTGTTGGGAAATGCAGATATTACTACATTACTGCTTTGACTGGCAGTGACTGTCAAATATCTATAATGCCTCAATAAAATGTCTAGATTGGCATTACTTCCTCTGATCCAGAGGGTGACGTCTCCTCTGACAGTCTTGGCCTTTGTGTGACCGGATGACCGCACACACACTGGTGTGAGGCATCCTCATTCCCACTCTTAACACACTCTAATTGAATTGGCCTCCTGGAACAATAAGTGGAGGGGTGGGGAACTTGAGCCCAGTGTTTAAGTCTACCATCCACTTCATTTGTGCCACGGCTGTCACTTGCAGGGGAACTGATAAAGAAACATTATCAGGGCTGCGCATCTTAATGCGAGCGGCATTAACACAGATCTATTCTTCCGGAGTCGCCGGGCATATTCTAATAGCTAAAGCAGCCTCTGGGAGCTGAGAGCAGAGTGGAGTCTTGAAGCACAGCGCTGCAGACTTAACAGAGTCAGGTGACACGGCTGCTGGGGATGTTAATGTCCAATTACTGTTAATACAGCTTTTTTTTGTTACAGTCATGACTTTCTTAATCAGTATTTCTGTCTTGTTTTTCAGTAACAATATCCTTCAAATAAAGTGTGCATAAGATGTTTTTCAGTAAATACGTTGAGTATAACATTTTAAGCACAAATATATTAGATTTATGGTTTTAAAAATATTCTCATTGACAAATGGATTTATCACTTACAATCTTTTACTAAATAGAAAAAAAAATGTATTATACAAAAGGTAAAATTTGTACAAATATACACTTAATATTTAATGGTTAATTACAATTATATATATATTTTTATCATTGCTATTCTTATATGATTTATTTCTATCCAAACTTTCTTTAGTGGGGTCGCTGAGCAATGCATTTCACGGTCAACAAGTGGTGCTGCTGCTGTGTTGGTGTATATTTTACAACTAAACTTTGTACCACTACGGCTCTCTTCAAACCTTAATTAGGTTGAGATCTGGACAAAAAAAAGCTTTAGCTTTAGCTGGCAGCTTTATTGTACAGCATTGTTCAGGTTTTTGTGGGCACAGATACAGAGCAGAGCCCTTGGTGTCACTGGGTGTATCCTCCATATTTTTTATTTCATAAATGACACACAAATGGATTTCCTTTAACATTGTCCTTCTGAGCACTCGACCATTTCTGCATGACCTCTGTTGCCAGCGCGGCTGCATATTTAATGAATATCAATGTAAATCGATAGAAAGCTCGCTCCTCCCTGCCCTTCTGTCACAGTGTTCCGCTGGCAGAAATGTCAAGGTTCCTCTTCTGCCCTTGTCATGAAAATGACTAGTGTGATCATCTCTTTGAGTCGTCGTGTTTGAATATGTTCCATATAGCCAAAGCTTCGTGTATTACCAAAAGCAAAATATATAATTTTTCATTTAGTTTCATGTATTATATATATATTTCTTAATACAAAATATATATACATTTATAAACATACAAATTTTTAAAATGAATAAAACATTTTTATTTTTATTTATATATATATATATATATATATATATAATAAAATATATAAAAATATGTAATTATGTACAATGAAAAATATGTACAAAGTAATGTACAACTTGTATTATTATTTTTTTAATTCTTAACTCTTTTTGGTAGGTTTTGATTTTGATAGGTTAGGTAAATTGAAACAATGGTGATCCACAAATTTTACATTTATATTATAAGTATCATTCCAACCTGTCAAATATGGCTCCTACTCCGGCGCTGTGGGCACTGTTCCGGTGCACATGCAATCCTGTGGCCAACAGTATCCCATCTTTCACTGATATTGAACGGTGTGAAAATGACGCAATGAGGAGCTCATTCCATCCTGAGAGAGACAGATGAAATCATGATAAAACATTCCACACAGTAAGAGTGAATTAAGCAAGTATCTGAGTGACAGAGCTCCTTTAACTAGTCTGCCTAGCAACTACCCCAACTCCTCTCATTTCCCCAGAGTTGAGCTTGGGAAAAGCTGAGATGCTTTCATCTGTGAGACAGCAGAACTAAAGGGGTTATTTTTAGAAAACCTGAGAGCTCAGAGAGAGATGGAGAGAAGACCCTCTCAACATGCTCTTCAGCTTGTTCCGAGAAGATAAGCATGACTCGCTAATACAGTGGGTCATAAAGGAAATTAAAAGCAAAGCAGTTTATTTGTAGAATGGTGGTCTACAGAGCATCTATTTGTCTTACTCATACTGTCAACTTCTTAGAAACTGACTCATAAATCTGACTATTCTGAAACCTTACGCCACAACAACCACGTCACCTTTCCCCACCATTTTCAAAACCATATTAACCCAACCAGAAAGCATTTTTGGGGATCAAAGGTATATTTAGAACCTACAGACTAGTCTCTGTGGGCAGCACACTAGCTTTAAGATAGAACAGTAGAAACTGTATAATTTATTAACAAATAAACTGAAAGGTCCTAACGCCCATACATTTTCCAAATATAAGCATTAAAAAAAATTATAAGTTGTTGAAACCATTTTTTAGACTTGCTAATTGTCAATGTTGAAAATTTAAATAAAATAAAATGAAAAAGTTAATTCTGAAAAAAACACAACAACCTCTAATTACATTTGCAGATGCCTCTTTTTATATTGTATCTAATGCAACGACACAATGACATTTTCAAGACAAATTTAGGCATTTTTGATCATAGGCACATTTCAAACCCAGCATGTCATCTATGTAGGCAGAACACTAGAATGCTGTCTAAAAAGGCAGCTCACTAGGGTTTGAAACAGCTGTATAAATTGCATATATAAATTGAAATACCACGATTCAGGAAAGTTTTTGCAATTTCAGGCATTTTTAGAATTTCAAATACACCTTTGAAACCTGTCTTAAGCAGCCTAGATAGGCACCAAACTAGGTTTTGAAACACAGCCTTAGAAGCAGCTTAACTTCAACACTTCTCTAATTAAATATTTGGCATCATAATGAACTCGTCCTGTTTCTGTCTTTTAAGTGTGCATCTGTCCGTTTGTCCTCTTCAACTCACCTGCTCGTAGAAGAATGACCTGGTCATCCAGCGGGAGCTCTGAAAAATGCGGGATCCTCTTGGCCCATTCCACTAGAGTGAAGAGCTGGTATGGTGTTTAAAATAAAGACAAAATGTTTTTAAGACTTTCAAATGTTCCAGATATTAGAAAATTAGGACATTTTAACGGTTCACATTTCCACGTTTCACATTTTCACACAAAAAAGTGAAAAAAAAGGAACATATTGCTACTCTAAAGGTACCAATATGCACCTTTTAGGGGTAGATAATGTACAAATGTGTCCCTTTAAGGGTACTTAAAGCAAGCTGTTGTACCTACAAAAGGTACAATTTTTTAATAAAATAAAGAAAATTATATAAACTAACCTTGGACAGCAAATACAAAAATGCCTTTAGAAATGTGAAGCTAGATATGAGAAAAGCTCTAAAATCATTAGATCTGCAGATGCCTCTTTTCATATGGTGTACTGTATGTGATGTAATGATATTCAGACATTTGTTTAACTTAAGTGTCTGAATACTTGGTGAAACCACTTTGTGGCCATTATTAGAGGCAAGAAACATCTCCACAGTTGCACTTTGGGAAATGACTGATGACATATAACCAGTGGGCTCTTCCGTGATTTTGCATCAGAACGCGGGAACTCCCAGGAGAATCTTGTGAAAGTGTTGAATGTTTCCCCTCTATGGTATATTTAAGCAACTGTTTAAAATTCACACTGACAACAGCAGCAGATCAAAGGAAGAAGTTGGAGATGGCAAACTGTTTGCCAGACGCAAAGCCATCTCTCAGAAAACAGACGCAGCTTATGAATATTTCTGTGGCTGATCGGGGACATGCAGACAATCCTCCTCAGTGCAACAGTTTCTGCCATGTTCTTTAACAAATACATAAACAAACAGACAGTTAATTCACAAAGCAACATCATAAAGGAAAGTGAAGCGGTGAAGAGACTCTGACGCTCCTCAAAAGAATACAACTCCCAGAGTTCTCGTTAAATACCGTAATGCTCATGAATGATGAATAGCTATCTTGGCTCGGTTTACACTGACCTTGTTTCTTCTACAAAACAAACAAAAATGACCCAAAAATGGAGGCCGCTAAATAACTGACTTAATTATTGTAAAGTAAAAACAAGACAAAAAGAGACACAAATTTAAATATAGCACAATAAACAAAAATTTAAGCATTTCTGTAATTGAAATTATTAACAGGGGGTCCGGAAATTATTATTATAATTATTTATTAATATATATATATATATATATATATATATATATGAATTGATGTCTTTTTGGGTGGAGTCTGCGGCCTGACAGATGTTTGTGACTGGATCATTGGGCTGGTGGAGGAAACAAGAACACAGGTGTCATACGCTGGTCTGTCCAAACATCAAAAAACTAATTCAATGCAAACGCTTCTAAGCTACATTAGTTTGATTTCACACACCGTCATGTTTTAAAATATGTCAGAACACAATTCAAGTACACACTGTATTCTCAGTATTGACACGAGGGGCGCTATAGCTAACATTAACCATCTTAAGACAGTTTTCTCTTTCAGGTTAACTACTTTCATGGCGAGGCATGGTTAGTTAAAGTTACTTAAACTGTTGACATGTTTAACGCTAGCTATCCAAATAATAACCCATCCGTTTAATGGCACAGACATTTGAGGGTAGTTTTATCACTGAGGTTTGCTACCGCTCTTCTTGGCCCCACACACGGGAACTAAACCTCTCTGAGCAGAAGTGAACAGGAAGGCAAAACAAACAGTGCTTTTTCCCCGGACTGCACAGGAAATACCTGCCGAGAGCTGGTGCTAAAAAATGACTCCCTTTCTAAATGGGCCTTTCCTGCAGAAAGCTCCCTGGAACTAAATTTACTTTGACACATTTGCTCATTCCCAAACATTTACGGAATACTGCTAAACATTTAAAGGACCCAGGGAAGGACATGTAATTAACTGTCAAACAACATGTTGTGGTCAAAATGCATTCATTGTTCTTGAAAATGCCTTTGTGAGGGACGTCGCATGAGAGAGTTTGTGTACGGCATGTTGCCTTTAATGCCTCCTGCAGATTTGAGTCTATTAGCACGTCTCGATGCGGAACGCTCCGGCTCTATCAAAGAGAGAGGACAAATGAGAGATATGAAAAATGGCCTAGACGATTCCAGCTTCACGTTGCATGAAGCCAAGGGAGGGATAGATACGCTGCTTTGTTTTATAAGATGAAAGAGTGAGTCAAAGGAGTACGGGTGAGAGCGAACGAGCGCAGGAGAGAGGAAAGCAGCAGGAGACGGTTTTCTGAAAGGACGGGAACAAATAGACATTGAGAGTCGTTTTTCAACTCAAGTGTCAAAAGGGAAGGCATTAGAAAACATCAACAGGACATTGCAGCGGGCAAAAGGACAAATAGTTTTTAAGAAAACAAACAGAGGGGGATAAAAATTATATTCATATTTATCAAAATTATTAGTGGGAGGGGGTGTGCATTCCTGGAAAATCCTGACCTCACTTTTGGCAGCCTCCTAGTTTCACTCGGTTGCAGTGCAGGAAGTTTATTAATAGGTTCAACACAGTGACAACGCAATTATGAGTCAAGAGCTTCTGAAAGGGTCAATATATCAGCCAGTTAAAATCACTCAGTTCAAAAAAGACATGCCATGAATATATACAGTGGGTATAGAAAAGAATCACCACTCTTTAAAATAATCACATTTTGTTGCTTTGCAGCCTGAAATGAAGGCGAACACAGTTTTTGTTTTATCCAGCTGTATTTACTCAGTGCAATGTATAACATCCAAGTGAAAGATATAACACAAACATGTCAGAAAAAAACAAAAAACAGAATCACTGATTTGGAAAAATGATCACCCCTTGTGTGTCAGTATTTTGTTGAACCACCTTTTGCTTTAATTACAGCCTTTAGTCTGTTGGGATATGTCTGTC